GATTTATTATAAGTTGAGATACTTTTATTTTGTTAGTAGTTACGTAAGGTTAACAGCAACAGTTAGTCCTCGTGAAAGAAAGGTAGTATGTCCAGGTGTCAAGAGAAGAATGGTAGTAAGGAAAGACTTGCTTCCGAGGCTTGCACTGTTGATAAAAAATAAAAAAATAAGGTATTTAATATTAATTTCTAGGCCCCGACTAAGCGCCGCCTAGGCCCCGCCTAGGCGTTTTAGGCGCTGGTCGAGCGCCTAGCGGGCGCCTAGAGACGTTTAGAACACTGACGATAGATAGTTGTTCATGAGACGAATACTCAGATCCAACTCATCTGGCACGACCAGCGAACACGTACGATCACAGTAACTTGCTAGAACTTCTTCGAAACATAAAGAAAGATTTATCATATTTTGTATGTATTTGTACAAAACTAATGGTATGTTCCCAATACTCCATTATTATTCACCTTGCAATATTGCATTTTAAACACTGAATCTAAAGTTTCAACATGTTTTATTAAATTATATGTGATAAGGTAATTTTATTTTATTATTCATTACTGAGTGTGTTTGGTAAACACTATAAACTAACTTATAACTTATTTGATTAGATTATAAAATTTCTGTATACAAATAAGTTTATTTTGGTATGACGAATTTTTTTGAAAAGATCGAATTTATCTAATAATCTTTTTTTGTTAGCTTTTCAAAATTTCCATGGGAATTTTATTACAACTAACTTGTCAATTAATTTTATCAAACACTTTTATCACATCAATTAGTTTTTCGGCCATAAAACCATAAACTATCACCTATAGATTAAAATTTCATTCATAAACTATTAATTAACTTATCAAACTATCAACTAATTTTACTAAACATATCTTAATTACATATTACTTTGTACTATTATTTATAATCATGTATGACATTATTTTTTTTTTTAATTTTATTTAGACACTCTAAAATCATTTTACTTGTGAGTCGCATGAATAATATACTAGTTGAAAAAAAAATAAAAAAAATTCAAGAGCGCTTGGATGAGATGACTTGAGTCTCTTCCAGCTTAACTAGTGGTCTCGTGTTCGAGTCCTGGAAATGCAGCAGTGTTAAAAACTCTTGAGGGAGAGCTTTGCCGCCCTTGTGGTCCTGCCCGACTCGATTCCGGATGAGTCGGTTCCCCTGTGGATCCGGACCGGAAGGTCCCTGTA